TCTCCCTCTCCCTCTCCCTCTCCCTCTCTCCTAAGGCACTCCCGAATCTTTACAGATCAAGATCCTTATATATTCATCCTTAGTCATAAAAAAATCAAGACAAAAACCCAGAACAAATCATATCCTGAACGGGTGTAAATTCAAACAGGAACAAGGTCATTTGACCTAGAAAATGACATTTTTTGTCCCTTAGATTTTTTCTTGATTTTTGGCCTAAAATTACATGTATTACAACTGCTACCTCTGTATGCTTTAATTTACTGAAGAGCTCCTTGAAGAAAAATAATGTTTGCTTTCTAAATTATTCTTTAGCAAACAGAGATTAGATTGTATTTACTTTTCTACAGGTAGCAGGTCTTCATTGTTAGCTTTCAAGATGATGCATGTAATTTGACATTCTTTTTTCACATGTCCCTTTCTTCATGTCTTCTTTTTTAAACAGAGAGATCAAGAGATACTTCATCAACAGCTACGACTTGAATGAAAGTCTGTTCTTGGGACTCAAAGGTTCGCTTTTGAATTTTCATATCCGATTTTGCATTGCCTGGGAAGAAAACAATATGATAGTAATTTTAACATTTAGGGATTGTACGTCTTCTTTTCAGAAAGTAGGGCATTGGTGAATGTTTTTAAGTGTTGAATTATCTCTGAGTGCCGTTGGACATTTGAACACTTTTTATGTTGTATAAGGGGTAGATAGAGGGTTGGGTGTAAATCGGGGGAAGCTCGATGGAAAGGAAGGAATCAATCACCATACCATCTCACTCCTCAGACAAAACAAAAAGGAAACTGGCTGACACTTTCTTTCTCTCAGAAGCCACATTGGCTCTTTTTATGTCATATTCGGTGTAAAATCCTTCCTTCATGCCTTTTTGGTTGGCCAAAATGATTGAAAATGAAATAACGAATGAGACACGAAGTCAGTCAAATTGCTGACCAGACGCAGTGTGTAAATGGTAATAAATGAAAATCTCTGTCCCTCTGTCAATAAGTGACGACACATTTAAGTAACTGGAGAAGACTGCTTATTTGGTGGAGGAATGTAAGCACTGATGGATGGCCTGCAACTTGGTAATGAAAACCAAGTGGATGAAGGGAAAAATGAGCGGCGCGGATCTCTCATTCCATTCTTTGCTCTAATCTTTGTTTATGATGCTTCAGTTCAGCTAGCAAATATCACTGCTGCTGTACTGTTTACTGGCATAACATAAATCTTTAACACTCTAGCACACCTTTTTATTTATGTTTAATCAAACTGTATGCATCTTGCATAGAGCATTCATATAGATTCATCAGTTTTGTGTTTATTGTATGTAGATAGCAAGGAGTACTGTATTGTACTCCTTGGTAGATAGGTAAATACGAGCAGAGTTATGGCCTATAGCATAGTTTGTGATGCTGAAAAATTGAATGACAAAAATGGCTGCATACAAATGTTACCAACATATTATATTATATAGTAAGATAGTAAGAGTTAATTGTGTTCCAACTGCCTTTTACAGATGAAGCTTATTTCTACAAGTGTCCAGACCGGCTGCGTCTGCCACTGGTCTTCTACTTTGCCCACACAGCTGTGGTGTATGTCAACAAGCTCATGTTGTCTGGACTCATCCATGTACGTTTTTCTCCTCTGTGTGTATGTGTGTGTGTGTGTGTGTGTGTGTGTGTGCGCGTGCTTGAGTGTGTAAGTGTGTGTGTGTGTGTGTGTGTGTGTGTGTGTATGTGAGTGTGTGTGTATGTGTGTGTGTGTGTGTGTGTGTGAGTTTATGTGTGAAAAATTTTGTAGTTGTGTAACAATTTATGTGTGTGTGTGGGATATTGTATCCCTCTCATGCTGGGTTTGCAACGGCAGTCAAGGCTGGAAGCCCGCCTCCTAAATGATCTATATTGTGTGGATGGGGCTGTAAAAAACACCTACACTGAAAAAAAAAAAAAAGAGGATGTAATGTGTACGCATGAACTTGTATTCAGTGCTATTTATAACAAATGAAATTCCTTTGTAGTGAAGACTCTAGTAAAATCATAATATCATTTAGTCCTTATGGCTGGTTGAAAACTACAGGCCTGTTGTGTCGTGGTGAAATCAGGTGCTCATTAAAAGAATGAAACTAAAGAATCTGGCATTTTTCTGCACGATATATATATATTTGGGGGGGGGCTCAACACCATTTATGTTCATAAGAACATTTCTTTGAGAATTTTACTGAAAAAAATTGATCAAAGGCGCAGAAATGTAAATTTGCTTTTTCCAGTGACTTTAAAGCTTTGGAAATCACCAAATTTTGGAGGCCATTTTCTCGCTGATTTTACCTCTAATACCAGGCAACCCCCACCTCCTTCAATCGCTGATATTTCGACTTTTGTTTGGGACAAATGGGTATTTTTTTCCTTTAAAAAAACGAGACAAATAAACAAGCTTTAAGATGATAACATTGACCTAATCGGCCTAAAGTTGATGAGCATCATAGCTGTGACGCATAATAATACCTTGTTATTTCATCTTTCACTCCCCTCCCCCCTCCTAAGTTCTTTTCCATTGCTACATCCCTTTTTTCCTTTGTTTAACTTTATTGCCTGCTTGTCACTTTAAAACATATTATTTTACATTACAGGAGAGAATCAATCTGGACTTCGAGACCATGTTTGAAACTGGAGTGGATGAAATGAGTTGGGATGACACTGTAAGTACCTCTAGTATATTTATGTACTCAGAGATCACTCATGAACCTCTGAAAAAAACCCCTGATATAACTGCTGAACAGGTGGCACACATAATATCATTAAGTGTTCATATTTACCAGAAAGTTTTCCATGAACCATAGTGTTTTTTATTGACCTTAGGACGCTACATTTTATGCAATATGTGTTATAATTTTAAAAAAATTATTGTCTGATTTTCACATCATCTGATTATAATCTTTGTTACGTCTGCAACTCGAATTTCTTACATTGAATTTACAATGACACTGTCCTGTCATAATTGTAAAGTTTTAATAGTCTGTATAATGCATGTGCATCAGGTGCTTGTGCTCTGAACTGTATTTGCAATAAAAAATATGTTTGCTTGTGAATGATTAAACTCACTTGTCCTGAGTCTTGCTGTTCCATTTTAATATTTTAGTTGCTGAGAACTTGTCTCTATTTATTCTTTATCCAGGAGAACTATCGAATGGGAGGCAGTTACAAATGGCCTGCCATTTCTGAAGTGGTAGAGTACCGTCAGATTGTTCGTGACCTAATCCTCAAGGTCATCGATGACACACCCCTAGAGCTCCCTGTGACTATGGACAGTCCTTGGGTAGGTGAAAGTGTTGAGGATCACTTGTCTTTGCTTGAGAGTTATGAGGATTGTTTGCTTTTGTTTCAAATTTAAGCCTTACTGGACATAGAAGTGGGAGTCAAGAAAGAAAAAAAAAACTTCTTAAGATGTTAATCTCCCATGTTGATAGTTTGTGGATGTTTTCTTTCCCCATTGGCACTGTTAAATCATCTGGGAGGAAGGACCAACCCACACTGAAAGAGACACAACATCCCAGCAGAAAAACGGCGATACTCAATAAAATAATGTACCAGCTTGGAAATTGAGCATTTGTCTGATCTAAATGTTGTCAGAGTGGATGTAACACATTTACCGTCATTTGTAATAGATCACATGGGTGGCTGGAGGGTGCTACTGTAGGTCCTACTTTTTTTAACATCAGTCACTTAGTGGATATGTTCCAACAAACTAAAAATAAACAATGAATAAAACAGAAATAATGTTGATTGGCGCCAAGGCGAAAAATCCTTTCTTCAAATGTTGCTAATATATCTCTTAATGATGGAAGATTCCCCTATGTCACATTCTGTAAAAAGAGTTGGCCTCACTTTAGATGAACACCTTTGAGTGGAGCAAGCTGTTTCTCATATCAGAAATTCCTGCCATACTGAGATAAGAAAGATTGCTTACATAAGACTGTAATCTCAGAAGAAGCAGCAAACAGGCTTGCACCATTGCTGGTTATCTTAAAATTAGACGGTTGCAAATCTTTGTTTTAAAACATCCCACATGACAAAATAGAAAAGCCGCTTAAAGTTCAGAATCAAGCTGCGAGACTTATAAAGAAAAGTATGCCCAGTAAAGACCAGGGTAATATACAAAAACACTAAATAGAAAAAAACAACAACGAATCAATGCATTAATGAGCTTCCTGTTTCTGTCCTATCTCAAAGACTAATTCATTCACATAATCCTGTAAGATGTCTGTGTGCATCAGGTTGGAATTTAATTGAGCAATAAAGATCTAAATTAAGATTATATGGAGAGCGAGCTTTTAGCATTGTAGGCACCAATGAGTGGAATAGGATGTCATACTGTGTCAGTTCTGGTGATTCTTCGGACAAAAAAAATGACGCAGAACATGCATATTTATTCACAATGTTCTATGATTGAGCCAGCTTCTGCTCATATTTTTATGCGTCATTGGTTTTTAAAAAATAAGAAAATTGGGGTTTTGAAAATGAATTGATTTTAATCAACCTGTTTTGATACGTACATGTAAAATTTCAACTATGTCGTATCTACACAAAGCAATTATCATGCTATGGGCATTTTTTATCGTACACACCATTTGTCAGTATAGAAATATCATTTTTATTATTATTATTATTATTATTATTATTATAATTTTTATTATTAGGGTTATTATTATTATTAGGCCTATTATTATTATTAGGCCTATTATTATTTTTCTTTTCTTTTCTTGTGTTGTTTCTGTCAGACTGTCCTACTCCCTCCATGCACTAAATGACAATTATTGTGTCGATGTGTTTCTCTTTACTCAAAGAAACGAATTACTTGAAAGCAATAAATAAACAAGTGTCTGTGGAGTAGTGGTTAGGCCCGGTGCTGTCGCTCACAGAAGATGTGAGGGCAATTCTTTTATCGGCAGGTTTTTATGGAGTGTCTCCTCCTGTCTGCTGGGAAATTGCATTCCACTCTAACTTGGTTGGCCCTGACCACTGACAGGCAGGGTTGCAGCAAATGGGCTCCTAAATGACCTAAATTGTGTTGATGGCAGCGTGAAACATCTACAGATAGGCCTACATTTTTCATTTCTTCATGGGCGTGTTCTTTTCTCTGTGTCTACAGTGGGCTCTGATGATGGGCATGGAGCATGAGCGGATTCATCTGGAGACGTCCTCTGTCCTCATCCGCCAAATGCCGATCGAGATGGTCCAACGGCCGGAGGGATGGACATACGGACCCGTCAAGTCTGGTAAGATTTTTTTACAAAATTATTTGCTAACTCTCCTCTTTTCTTTTTCAAAAAACTAATAATCATGTTCATGTATTGTCCATTGCTTTTTTTTGTAAGCTCTTAAGCTATTCCACAACTATTATAGCCTTTTAGGAAATAATTCAGTCCCAAAATTTAGTAGAACTGGTCCCTTCAGATAGACACTTATATTTGTTATGTCCTGATTATAAGCAGAGTAGCTATAACAATAACATCATCCATTTTTTGGCTCATTTCAATATCTGGATCTGTCAATACAACATGGAAGCTATGATTTAGTCTGTATTAACACAAAATATTTTCCATAGCTATATATATATATTCGCAGTGATATTCATGCCTTGCAATATTCTTTCTTGCTAAGTGACCTTCATTTCTCAAGACCTCTATGTTTTAGAGGTAACATTTCTGCTTCTTTTGTCAAACTGTGAATTTACTGGAGTGATGATTTTCTATCACTTCAGGTTAGGCGCTTCACCATTGCACATTGAAGACTTTTGTTTGATTCCCGTGTTAGGAAATTTAAAAATAGTTTATCTTGATCTTTTTGCTGGGTCATTTTAGTATCCCTCTGAGCTTGGGTTGGCCCTAATGAAGCACACCTCTTAAATGATCTAAATTGTTTTGATAGGGGCATTAAAACTCTTACATTTTTTTCAAAAGCAAAAAAAAACAACCCAAAAAGCTTTTGTTACTTTCTCTTTTGTCTCAATCTGGTCAGTGATGAAAAAGTGATTCATTTGAAATAAATGAAATGATTGAACTTTGCTACATTCCTCTATCCCTCAGCCAAGCCTGTGAAAAAGAACAAGATGGTGACTGCTAAGACTACGGAGGTCACCCTTGGCAAGCCAACCAACTTTCCCTCTTATGGTTGGGACAATGAGTATGGGGAGGTCTCCTGCAAGTGAGTCAGCTATCATATATACCATAAACATACCCTTACACCAATGCCCACAAAGGCCCAGAGAACAGCCACCATATCCTGCTGCACTGTACTTGTTTCATAACCCAAAAAGCACAGACATGGCAATATGCTACTCTACCAGAGAGAAAACTGTATGATAGCCTCTGGAATGCGCTACCTAACTGATTGTCTAACCATATTTGAGAATGAAGAAGGAGGAGAGGATATGTGTCACGACGCGAAAGAATCCGGCACTCGTAAATTTTGGGGCATATGGAGTTAATGTTTTTATCTAAAGCTTGTTTATTTGTCTTGCTTTTGGTGAAAAAAGTACCCATCTATCTTCATGTTTTGGAGAGAACCGTTGCGGCAAAATGTGACTGGCAAAATTACATCGTAACACTTCAATTTTCAAGGGAGTTGTTCTGTTTCACAGGGTGCCTCCTTTCCAGGCCAGCCAGTTTCTGATCACCAACAAGGAATTTTTGGAGTTTGTCGAGGCAGGAGGGTACAAAACTCCGAGTCTGTGGACTGAAGAAGGATGGAAGTGGGTACAGTTCCGTGAGGCTGCGCATCCATGTTTCTGGGTCTGTAACCAAGGTATGGCGTCAAGGGAGATCTATCTGATGTGATTGCTTGATAGATTCTTTTAAGATTAAATAAGATGAGATTAAATGAGACAAGACTAGAGAAAAGGAGATAAGATTAGATAAGGTAAGCCTCCTATCCATGGTTTTTAGAGAATTCAGCTTGCCTTTATCAATTGCTCATCATTTTTGCTGTTTTGTAGTAGGATATTTTTCCTCTTTGTGGACTTGCCACAAATCAGAGATGATATTTTTGTTTCGTGAGATAACGCAAGAGTAAATATTACAAGATCAAATCAGATAAAACACATGTTTTTTTTAAAAGTGGCCATCAGGAAGCCGAGCTGTACACCAGTAGTCATTAGTCATACTCATTCACATTGTTTTTGTACATCTTTGGAAAACATTTGTACATGCCCATGGACTCATAGGTGTACATACACCCTTACACACAAACAAATACACACACACACACATACACAGACTCATTAAAACACACTCATACAGACTTAAATTTGCCCACTTCTGCTTGCTCACACATATGCTGGCACACAACACAGACACAGAAATGCATTCATACATTTCAACATTTAGCTTTTCATTTTCCAAAAGTTTACAAACTTGTCTAAAACAGTGAAACCTAAATTTCATGCTCGTTGTGGTGTAAGACTTAGGTTCTTTGCTGTGGAACACACAAGGTGTGAGTTTGATTCCTGCTTGAGGAAGTAGGTGTTGAACATTTCAATTTGTCTGCTCATTCAGGCTGGATTGGCCCTGACAGACGAAGTCGAAGCAGTATCCTCCTTCTAAATGATCTAAATTATGTTGTTTAGTGTGTATAACATTTACGATCATCTTGCAATTGCCTATATTTCAGGTTGTAAGTCGGGCTGTGGTGCTGATTTGGCGTCTTACTCCCACTGCCACTTTGATGATGACTCTGTGAATGGAAAGAATGGGACGAATGGAAATGATGAAGAGACTGAGGTGAAGAAAGCGAGACAAAGTATCTACAAGTGAGTGTTCTTGTCTAGAAAATAATGTAGCATTTTTTTGCAATATACAATTGAAACCATCCAATATTTTTTAAAGAGAAAAGTAGTCATCTTAAACAAGGGCTCCACTTGAATAGGGTAATTATGATATATTCCCCCCCCCCAAAAAAAAATAAAAAAATTTTTTGATATTAAAAAAATGCAAGGTTGGAAGGGGGAGGGGGGGTGGTCATTTGTACAGGTGATTGTCTTGGACAGGTGGCAATAAGAAGAGGTTCTACAGTATTCAGAAAATTCTTTCAAGCTGTGGTTTGCTTCAACGCTTGTAATATCTATATATCTTTTTAAAAAATTACTTTCGTACAGTTTCATTGTTGAAATAGATGTGTTATTACAGATATGTTACTTCTAAACTCTCCAGGATTTTGCTGTTTATTAATTGATATATTATTATGTAACTATTAGACAAACCCATTGTTAAACCAGTTTATAGATATGAAGATCTGCATCTCGTTATTTTACACCTGTAGTACATATGTGTCACGATGTGGTGGAATCAGGTGCTCATCAATTTTTGGGCATATTGAGTTGTGGGTATCATCTTAAAGCAGGTTCACTTGTTTTGCTTTTGATGAAAAGAATCGAAGGAGGTAGAAGACGGTAGGGTTTGCCTGGTGTCAGAAGTAAAAATAACTAGACGATGGTTGCCTAATTTTGGTGACGTGCAAAGCTTAAGTGTCCTTGGAAACTGCAATTATTTTTGTGTGTGTGTGTGTGCCTTTGATCAACGTTTTTCAATAAAATCCACAAAGAAATGTGTGCTCTTAAATGACATGGAAAGGTTAAAAGTTGCCAATGGATGGGTGAAACGTTGGTTACGCTACTTCTATGTCATTATTTTGAGGAGCGCCTGATTTCACTATAATGCTCCACATTTTTAGGCTACGTCTGATGTTTGATGTTGTGGACATGGCGTGGGACTGGCCAGCAGAGGTCAACTACCATGAGGCCAAGGCCTTCTGCAAGTGGAAGGGGCCGGGCTACAGGCTCCCAGTCGAGGCTGAGCATCACGTCATGAGGGGAGCCCAGGTGAGTGGCTCAGTTTAGTTGTAGTTTTAGGAAGAGTTTTGCGGCACTTGTAACTCAATAAGGTCATAATATCTATAAGTGCCGAAGATTAGAGGTGTTACGAGAGAGTAACAAACATAAAAAAGAAGAAGGAGAGACCAGGCCGATAAATGTCTGATAGGAAAGAATTTAAGGAGCAAACCACACCAGAGCACCTGCCAACCACCCACTGAGTGGCTCAGTACTGCACTGCTCTGTCTGTTAGATCAGTGATATATATGTCCTTGCTGGAACTGGGCGCAGCTCTATCTGGCTGGGAAGCAAAAAGATCTTACCTTATGCTTTTGGGTCTGTTGCGTCAGTGGCCTAGTGGTTAGGCTCTCGGACTCGCAAACGTAAGGTAGTGGGTTCGAGTCCCGTCAGGGGCCCGGCGTTGAGTCCTTGGGAAAAGCACTTTACAAGAATTTTCCTCACTTCACCCAATTGGGATTAGTGTTTGAGCGCTTAATCAGCTGCTTGCTCTGTATGCTTCCCGGGAAGCTGAGAATGTTTCGGAGTGTTCTATGGTCTGCTGGGGTAATAATGTAGTGTAAAGCGCATAGAACCTGCTGTTGAGCGGGGATATGCGCTATACAAATGCTATTTATTATTATTTATTATTATTATTATTATTATTATTATTGTTATTATTATTATTATTATCAAAGTAGAGCTGCTCGAGCAGTTTGTCTGATGAGATTGCTTTTTAGATTGTTCTAAAATAAGATAAATTTATAATGATAAAACAAGATGAGATGACATGAGATGAGATGAGACGAGATAAGATAAGATAAGGTTATCCTTCACTAATCATCTCTAGGATTCCCATACATCACTTAAGCCTGCTTTTACTCATCTAGTCTTCCCTGACTTAGAATTCTTCTGTTGTGGATTTAATAAAGAGCGAAATGTTTTGAAAAGGAAAAAACAACCCTACTTTGCTGTGCACATTATAGTAGGCTACTGTTTTGTTTTCTGCAGCTGCCTGCTAGCGAAGGCTCACAGAGTGACATCATCTTCCAGAAGAAAATCCCAGCTAATCTCAACTTTCAATACGGCTCCTCAACAGTAAGTGGCATCCATTAGATGATTCTGTTCATACGTCAAGTGTGTGTACATGTTTGAATGTATATTTGTGTATATGTATCTGCATGTGTATGTGTGTGTGTATGTTTTTCTGTGTGTGTGTGTGTATGTGTGTGAATGTGTGTGTGTGGGTGTGTGTGTGTGTATATGTGTGTGAGTGCGTATGTGTGTGTTTGTGTGTGTGTGTGTGTGTGTGTGTGGTACATCAGTACTAAGCAGGTAAAAATATGCATGTCATGTACGGGGTAGACACAGTAAAAAACAAGATGATTATAAAATTTTTTTAGCATCTGACCCGAAGGGCTGTCTGTCTTCTGAAGGTCAAAATCTGGAAAAACCTTTATCATAGAGATTCAGTATAATCTCAGGTTTTAAATTGAGGCTTTAATTCAGACTGTACAAAAATAATTGTTATGACTGCGGTCAGGAAGTTCTGGATCCTTTCACCTTTTCTCACACGTCGTGCTACGACATAAGCAAAGGGCATGCCCTGTGCATGTACACAGTTTGGTGGAAATTCTTTTTAGTCTGGAGCTGTTCTTATCTTTACCTGTGCAACTTGCCAGCCACTAAATAGTGCTAGTTCAAAGTTAACGATTTTTTAAATAAAAAAACCTCAAAAGTCTAATTTGAACAACGTTTGTGTTCTATATATATAAATTTGTAAGTAGATAATTTTCAAGAAAAATAATAACAGGACATTCAGACATTGACCGTACACTGTATCCCGTTACTGTTTATTGGATGATATGAAAAGGAAAACATACTTGGCAAATGCTTGTACAGCTCTGTTTTTTTCTTATCTATCTTGTCTCTTGTACTTTTCTTTAAAAAAAAACCCCGAACAGTTTATTGTTGTTTACTCAATTGATAAGCAATTATGCAGCATTCTTTTGTAGCTGTCAGTGATAGACATAATAAGTATTACTGATACTAAAAAATGTTTCTACACCTTAGACTGCTTAGAAAAGTTAGACAAAGCATTCCTTCACCCCTCCACAAATACCAAATAAACAAGCACAAAATTGAAAAAGAATCCTCTAAAAAACCTGAAGCACTGTTTGTCTGTCTGTCTGTCTGTCTGTCTGTCTGTCTGTCTGTCTGTCTGTCTGTCTGTCTGTCTGTCTGTCTGCCTGTCTGTCTCCCCCTCCATACCTCTCTCTCTCTCTCTCTCTCTCTCTCTCTCTCTTTCTCAATTGATATTTAGTATATACTTTGTATTAGACTGTAATGGTTCCCAATGTTACAGGCAGGACAAGTGGTAAAAGTCAGTAACATTGTGTATAATATATTTACTGAGTGTCAATTCCCCTCCTCCGTTAGTTGGTGGTTGGCGGGTGCTCTGGTGTGGTTTGCTTCTTCTTTCCTATCAAACATCTATGGTCCTTATCTCCCCTTCTTCTTTTTTTATGTTTGCTACTCTCTTGTAACACCTCTAATCTTCTGGCGCCCATATGACCTTATACAGTTGCGAGCGCCGTAAAACTTCTACTAAAACTAAATAAACTAAACTTCTCTGTTACAGCCTGTGAACCTGTTCCCACCGACAGAGACAGGATTTTATGATGTGTTTGGAAACACTTGGGAGTGGGTGGAGGATCATTTCAATGGTCTCAGTGGATTCCACACACACTTCCTGTATGATGATTTCTCTTCCCCATGCTTTGATGGAAAGCACAACATCATTTTGGTAGGTTATTATCCTAGTTCATCTTGGTACCTTGGTGAGATTTTTGGTGGCACTTTTTTGTCATAGGCCGTGGAGACTGAACCCCTCAAAGAGAAAAAAGAACAATGTGATCAATCCTAAGGAATTGAATTTGCTATTTATTAGTCAATGAGCATGGTTCTTGTAAAATCCTTCGCCCAAACTCTGGCGCTAAAAAAAACACGTGAAAAGTGGAGAAACCTGACGAGGCTCTCTATCATACAGCGCCCCTATGATCCTCGTGGATTATGGGATCAGTAAGCAGTATGGTTCTTGACATGGGTTAGTAGGATGCTACATCCCCAGGAAAGGCACTTAACTCTTTCTACTCAGTTCATTCAGCTGCAAATGGGTACTAAGTTATAGAGAAAGATGAAATGGTTTTAAATAGTGGCAGCTCCTAACTGCTTGCAACACTGTATGTCCCATAAGGGACTGACATTGTAAATAGGAATGAACTGCCTAACCTTATGGAGCTTTTATAGAAATGTATGAGCCTTCCATTTGGGTGAGGAGTTGGGTGTAAATGTTTTTTATTTAAAAAATTTTGTTTTTTGTTTTTTGTTTTTTGGGGGGGTATGACTGTAAGTAAATAGCACTGTCCTGTTTATGACACTTCCTGATTGAAGCTACTGTCTAACAATTCTATCGTGTGATGTACCTCATTGAGCCATTCATATTGATATTATAATTTCTTTTTAGACAACAGAATTGTGAGTTATAGCATTGTTATTTCCAGGTTGTGGTATATAAATTTCAGTAAAGAGATGAGGTGCAGGAAATGATTCCTCCTCTTTTGTTCATCTCTATAGGGAGGATCATGGATATCCACTGGGGACGAGGCCTCAAGGTTTGCTAGGTACGCTTTCCGCCGACACTTTTTCCAGCACTGTGGCTTCAGAATTGCTCGCAGTTTGACGGAGGACCTCAAGCAGATTGATCTGCCAGCTCGCATGGTCGATACCGAGGTCTTTGTGTTGGGATCTGGTGTTCAAGGTGATTGGCTAGTAGTTTGTAATAGGGTTTTTGTTTCAAAGGTCCCCATTTTAACAACCTTTTGTCACGTAGACTTGATTATTCTATATATGCAAAGATATGTGAAGGTGCTATTTAATTTGTCATTTGTGAAATATTTGTGGGTATAATATGAGGAAATGATTGAGAGGAAGTAAAAATTAAAGAAGAAAAAAAAGTTCTCCTTTCAGATGAGTTAGAAATAAGACAGACAGCACTCATAACCTTTAAGACTGCTAATGTGAGTAGTAAGCTGGATTTTCACTGTTATAGTAGGATGTACATACACCCTTTCATAATTTCAAAATATTTGAGAAAGGTTTTGTAATAAATGAAGTAAGACTCACAGTTGAATACAAACACCAGCTTTGTAATGAGGCCATTAAAAAAATTTCTGTCCAAAACAAGTAGAAAAAGTTGTTCTGCTTTTTTTCTTAACAATACATTTATTTGATAGCAATCTTCATTTCCATAGCATCTTAGTTTTTAAAAAATTTGATCGGTCCAAACTGTTGGGATGGGTTAAAAATTCAAAGATTATCAGCAGATGAAGACATCACAGAATAATACAGCACCAGGAGATGATAAAAGTATTAAATTATTTCTCTCTTACAACATAAAATCAACACTGCTGTTGAGCATAGCGGATGATAAATCAAGGTGATGATGACCATATCTTACCTGTATCAAGCGTTTAGAAATATTTGCTCTTTTTGTAATTGAAATATTTTTTGGTCCTCAGCCAATAAAATCTACCTTGACAACAACTTCAGCGTTCAGCGTGTGCAGAGCACTAATGCTGTCTACAATTATGACACCATGGAGACACTGGAGGGAATTTTAGAGCTGGAATTCGGCTTCCGTGATTCCTTTGCCGCTGTTGTTGCTGCGCTTTGTGGTAGCTACTGTAGTCATTACAAAGTTGCCACAGACTCGGCAGTGCATCTGGGCACTGCCACGGGGAGAGGCTCGTTTGAGCTCAGCAGACATTTCCAGAATGTGAGTCGCCTTTGTTGCAGATTTTTCTGATCATATAGTGTTTGTTTTTGTTTATGTTGAAACCTAACGCCCTTCAATTAATGCAAAATTATGCTCACATTTTTCCAACTTAAAAGCTGTTTCAGTCACAATAGTTTGGGAATCCGAAAAACACATTTTCCTGTTTTGATCTAGCACCTCTGTTTGACCATCAATGATTTATCTATGTGAATTCAGTACATTATTTACCATGGAGGAAGGTTAGCTTCAGATATCTTATTCTCAAAATGCTTTTCTTTTGTCAGTATTGAGCACAGCATTACTTGTCTCGCAATATTTCAGCCTACAGATTTTTCTCTAAATATAGAATCTTCCTCTTTTGAACTAACTAGAGGAACCTTCCCCTTATATATCAGTACAGACACATCATTTGACACAAGAAATAAGATTTTGCAAAACCCATTTGCCCTCCAGGTACATTCACTAATTCACATGAAGTTCGAAGCTGTTATTATTGGTGGTTGATCGTGCTGTGGTGTGGTTTGCTCCTTTCCTATGAAACATCAGTTGTCCTTATCTCTTCTCCTTCTTTTGTTTGTATGCTGCTCTCTAATAATGTCTCTAATCTTTGACACTTTTATGGCCTAATTGTGATGTAAGTGCGTAAAAACTCCTACTAAAACTAAAGCAATAATCGTACATTGCATATTTATTCAATGGAGCTTTTTACGTTCATTTTGAGACCATATGCACAGTTTTTATGTACATAAACGTGTATCAGAGTTGTCCTGCTGGAGGTTGGAGGGCACATCTGGAAGATTCTTCTCTTCTTTCTCTTTATTGTTTCCATCTGTCTACCTTAATTATCCCCGGCACTAATTCATCCTTCTTGTGGCAGTGTGCTTCTATTAACTCAAGCACGTGGGTGGTTGGCGGGTGCTCTGGTGTGGTTTGCTCCTTCTTTCCTATAAAAAAAAGTCTATCATCTCTATTTCCCCTCCTTCTTTTTTGTGTTTGTTACTCTCTAGTAACACCTCTAATCTTCGCCACTTATATGACCTTATTGTGTTCAAGTGCTGTAAAACACTTACTAAAACTAAAACTAAAACTAACTCAAGCAAACTAACAGTTAGTTGTGTGTCTGTTCTTGCTGCAGGTGCTGGGAGTGGAGATGTGTGGCCGTCTCATTGACGCAGCCGTGAGGCTGCAGTCTGGGCGTCACATCACCTACAAGAATGGGAAAGACATCAAGCTGGACACTGGTTACAACCTGGACCGAATTACATTCAAGCAGGTCAGTCATTTTTCTCTTTTTCAAACTGTGTTCAGCAGAAAGTGGGGGATTAAACCTGAAGTGAAATGTCTGTTCCTGATTTGCTGAAGAAGAAGAAAAAGAAGAGGAGAGAGAAGTAGAAGAAGAAGAAGAAGAAGAAGAAGAAGAAGAAGAAGAAGAAGAAGAAGAAGAAGAAGAAGAAGAAGAAGAAGAAGAAGAAGAAGAAGAAGAAGAAGAAGAAGACAAACAAGAGGAACAAGAGGAAATAGGAGAATAAGTAGAAGAAGAAAAAAAAGAAGAAGAAGAAGAAGAAAGACATAAAACTGTCTTTTTCGTGTATTGATTTACCTGTACCTTGCTCCTTTATTTCCTCTTTTTATCCTCCCCCTCTTATCTCTCTCTCTCTCTCCACCTCTCTGTCTCCATAGCTGTCAAACTCTAAGTCTCTCCATCTCTCTATCCTCTCATCTCTTAGCCTTCTAATCTGTTCCTCTCTTTATTTCATTGTCCATCTCTGCTGCCCTTATCCTCGCCCCCCCCCTCTTTCCACACACACACACACACACACATACACACACACACACACACACACACAGACACACTTTTCAATCTTTCTATGGTTCTGTGTCTATATCTCTCAGTCCCTCCATCTCCCTATCTCTGTTTCTCTCTTTTTTCTACATCCCTGTGTTTCCATTCGATTGTCTTTCCTACTGTGGTCTCCCTATTTAGGCCTACCCATTTCTCTTGTTTTTGTAGAGGTTTTAAACGGTTTTACGGCGCTCGTAACATCTTAAGGTCATATGAGCGCCAAGGGATGGAGTCAACTGAGAAGTCCTTAGAGGGAATCAAGTTTACTCTGCTTAACTCTCTAGCTCCAACAGCACAAAGTCTGCTTTGACTATCAAGGCACCCCAGAAATAGCAGGTCACAAGAGTTTGACAAAAATACTAAAGAAGTAGAGGAAAATGAAGATAATAAGAATTAGGAAAGAAAAAGCAGCAGTTCACTGTTGCAGTTCAGGCACAATTATAAGCATAACATTGATGAATCAGCCCATTTACAATAACAATTCTACTGTGCATAAGAGCATGTTTAATGTCCCCCCCTTTGAGAATGGCTTAAAGACACTTCAGTCAGTAGCACTGCCCATGGGGTCCCCCGTTTCTCTAGCTCATAACTTGCTTGCAAAAGTGTTGAAAGTTGTTGACAGATAGTTTGTAAAATTCTATTTTGCATTATTTTCCTCCCTTCCCCTACAGCTAACCTGGATTCCCAATGAGGTGGAGAATCATGATTTGGTCCTCATCACTCACCTGGATAGGGTCCAGAACCCAAAAGGTGAGTACTTTATTAACTTGAAAATTTGAATTTGGTCTGGATTTGTGAAAGAAAAGTGGAATTTCATAGTATGAGTTTCAGGAAGCATCAACTTGAAGGTAAAGTTTTTATTTACTTAGGAATCCACTCAAATGGAACATGGTTAATCCGAAAACAGTGGTAAACTATAAGAAAATAAAATTCCAGATTTGTTTTCCTTCTATTTGAGTAACTTTTCAAAACTGAAAACATAGCTAAAGTGAAGAAAATCCAGTGGTCCCGCAGATTTTTGTTAACGCAGACTCCATTATGAATTTTTGATCTTGACATATAATTTTAAAAAAATTATTATTAGCCCAATATGTCTCATATTGATGCATTCATTTCCTCAAAAAAATCAAAGAAAAGTTGTCCGTAAATCAGCTCCCATTCTGTTCTGCTCTTTAGCTTGGCTGGTGCGACTGTGGGAGATCACTCGTCCCCGTGGAATGGCTGTAATTGCCAGCAAAGACGGCAAGTGGAACAGGGAAAAACTACATGTCCATCTACATCATCGGTGAGAATGAATCTGATTTAGAGATAAAGTCATACATTTGTATGGCTATTTAGAGCAGGTCCATCACCATGCCAAAATCAGATCAGATGCTTAGAAAATGAGTTAAAGCATGAAATTAGGATATAAAAGTTGAAAATTTGTCTTTACTTCACACTTTAAAATAAGCCTGCAAAGAATGAAATTGAAAGAGCTATAGCGGGTAAAATCTTTTTAATAATGAGTTTCAAATCTTCCCTAATATCTTCATCATGTATGTCCTTATTTGAAATGTACATAGAAATAGCGTAAATAACCCAAAAGAAAAGAGAGGAAACTTAAAGGGAGCAGCGGCTTTTGTTTAGGGGCAAATCTTATATTAAAACACCATTACTACCTTCAACATTTTATATTCTTATTTGTATTTATTATAAACTGACCTGTTTGCCTAAATCTGACTGAAATCACAATAGGAGTATAGTGTTAATATAATACCCTCTCCTCCATTGTTTTTTGTTCTTGTGCAGAAAGTTCTGAGAAACTGATACCTATAGATGTATAAATACAAATAAGAGATCTTTAAGAAATGTTATCATTGTCTCAATATATCTTTTTACAGGCTCCGGTGTGTGAGCAGCCAAGAAGTTCCCTATGAAGACAGGAATGGTGAGGGCACTGCCACCATCACCATCTGGAAATACAAGTAAAGCATTTCCTGTTTCTACCGCAAGAAGTAAAAGACCAACAATCTGATGGATCAGAGCTGTTGAAGACTTCTGACAAATTTCATATTGATTTGATGCTTTTTTTGCATGTACGTGATGATGAAGTCACATTGAACCTTATCTTTTCTTGAAATGTATGTAAATGTAACTGATTTCTTCTGTGAAGAAACATTCTTTGTTATGTTTTACAACTGCTTAACTTTACAGAAAAAATTAATAAACTGTTTACACCTGCAGGTCAAGCGAAATATTATGTTAATTGTTTGAGAGCTTTGTCAACGAAAACTTGTCTGAACAGCTTTAAGAATGTGCAAAATGTTGTTTTAAACTTTTATTTTTGAATGAATATTCTTCTGTTGTGGGATTAATTTAAAACATACAAAGAGTAAATTTGATCTCAAAATATTGATAAGCAATACTTCTATTTCCCTTTCAAACGGTAATTATATTATTGTCTTTGAGATTACTGTACTCCCGTTCAACTATCTAGTCTAAATGAGAAAACACAGCATTGTGGATTTGATTTTATGAACTGAGTTGTTTTACATTTTTGTTGCTCACTTTTTTTCTGTCTTTCCTTTTGACTACAGTAATTGTTTTACTTATGATAATGTGATTTTATCGTTTTTACTTGCAAATGTAGTGCGGTAAGCAGTCTTATGCAAATGACTGTATTCAAACAGAATGTTTGTGCTACCTATTGTTGCAGTTAGATGGTTTGTATTTTCATATGATGAATCTCAAAAATTTTCAGAGAGAAGGAAAGTAAAATATTTATCCTTTTGCTCCACAAATGGATCTCTTGTGATGTGAATATGATCAGAAATGTATCAACCTCAGGGGAACTCTCCCAAATGGGTAAAATTATACATAGAGGGAATTAGAAATGTGTATTTATCAATTCCCAAGCAAAATTCTTATCTCTATACTTATTTTGGTGATGCAGAGTATTTTGACACAAAGCATAATTATATATATCTATTTACTTGTCATGTTGTTGATTGCTGGTAATGGACAGTATGATATTCATAGCAAATAGAAAATGAAATTTATTTCTACAAATAAATTTGCTATGCATGTGATATGTTTTGTAATATTGTATTGCACACCTAGTATATGATGCCTTTTTGTAGAAGGTCAATAGTGATGTTTGTTGTCACTTCCATGTTTTTTGGTAGATGTAATAAAGCATTTTGAAAATGTTCAGATAAAACATTTTTTGGGCTTCTCAAAGATTGTTTCTGTTAATGTTCTCTGTCTGCTCTTTTGATCTTTTAAAATTCCTTCTCTCTTTTTCTGGCTCCCTCGTGTGTTTTCTCTGTTGCGTTTTCTCTCTATTTCTCTCTCTCTCTCTCTCTCTCTCTCTCTCTCTCTCTCTCTCTCTCTCTCTTTCTCTCTTTCTCTCTCTCTCTGTCTCTGTCTCTCTCTCTCTCTCTCTCTCTCTCTCTCTATCTCTCTCTCTCTCTCTCTCTTTGCTTTCCCTCTCCCTCTCTATCTCTCCCTGTGCTTCTGTCCCTCACATGTCATCTCTTTCTCTCTTTTTCTCTTCTGTTCTCCACCCATTCTCTCTCTCTCTTTCTCCCTCTATTTTTTTTGTATGTCTTGAAGATGTCTCACATTTCCCTCCCGCTGTAAAATGGTTTTTGTACCGTATTTCTTGTTGCCCGGTAATAAAACTCCCATTCATTGCTCTCTCTGTCTCTCCACTCCCCCTCTCTCTCTCTCCCTCTCCCCCCCTCTCTCTCTCTCTCTCTCTCTCCTTCTCTCTCTCACTCTTAACCATCGTCTATGGTGTAGCAGTTAGGAACTTCGCTGTCACATGTAGGAAAACGGAGTTCGATTCCTGAGTGGGAACATAATCTTTTATAGAATATCTCGATCTTTTTGCTGGGATGTTGTATCCCTCTAAGCCCGGATTGGCCTGCCTCCTAAATGGTTTAAATTTGGACTTTCTCTCTCTCTCTCTCTCACACACACACACAATCACACACACACACTCAAACACACACACACACACACACACACACACACACACACACACACACAAGTATCTGTGTATACTGAAAAAAAAGGCACGCTGTCTCTCCTAAGAATTACGTACTGGTATTTATTCTGTGAGCAGGTTATGATATGTTCACAGCGAAATACACAATTTTCGCAACATCTGCAGCTTTAAAGACCACAGTCTAGGAGAGGGAAAGAAAATAGATTGTTCTGTTTTAAGGGAGACAACTGAAGCTGCTTTTCTCTCGACGAATCCTAATGTTAACTCCCCTGTTTCTAAATCGTCTCAATCGAGCGGGTTCGTAACCAAAGATTTTATAGTAGAGAATCTTTGTCGTAACCTAAGTACATATCATGCTTGACTACGGAGCGGAGGTGTTTAAGTCCCCAACTGGGGTGTTTATGACTCTTAATCGCTTTATGGAGTTTGCAAGGTTCTCAACCCATTTGGCTCGGTCCTATAGAAGATTGACGTTTAATTCGAAGGTCCTGCCTCTCAAAGATACCTATTTTGTTGATAATGGTGTAGTAAACCCGCACACTTAATAACAGCGTCTTGACCAGCTGGCCAGACATTCAATGTAGTAGTGCTGGGTTCGATTAATTACTATTACAAGTTGTATTTTTTTCGGATGATCACTGTAATCACTTTCCCCCTTAACAAAGTACGGATAGGGCGTGCAGAAATTTTCAAGTAAATTGTTATCTATTTATTAGGGTTACCATGGCAACTCTGTTCAGTACACTGTAATAAATGGTAGCCTTTAAAGTGCTTAAAAAAAATTACATGAAATCTGAAACGCGATGGGTATTTTGCACTCTCATGAAAACCTTGACCATGCACCCGAACAGTAACTATAGCACTTCAACAACAACAACAACAATAACACGTAAACAAAAACAACAATAACATAATAACATGTCAAAAACAATAACACATCAATGACAACAATAATAACACTTCAACAACAACAACAACAATAACACGTCAACAAAAACAACAATAACATGTCAAAAACAATAACACATCAATGACAACAATATTAACACGTCAACAACAACAACAACAACAACAACAATAACACGCCAACAAAAAAACAAAAACAAACAACAACAATAACCGTCAACAAGAACAGCAACGATAAACACAACAACAACAAAAACAACGACAACTACAGCAAAAACACTTACACAACGGTACTGTACGACAATCCACCAAACAAATTATCAGCAATCCCCGATCCTCACCCACCGGGGCCGCCTCATCTTCTTTTTTTGGGTTAAATGATAGAATCGTGTACCGCAGGTGGAAGAAATTACTGTCAACTTTCAAGGCAGGCGTCAGTGAACAATTTTAATGTCATTGTTAGTGCACAGTTTAACGACGCCCATGTCAACACAATAGACTAGGGTTACCGAAATTTGATAGAGATGGGAGCTCCGAATGCAACATCCATCTCCTACAGTACCAAGATGGAATATGGGTCTTCTTCTTCCACCCCGTGGTTGGAGCAACTGTGGGGGCATCACTGCATCTGAAAACCAGCTTTCGCCATTTCTCTTTGTCCTTTGCTTTCCTCAGATTGTCACCCAACGTCTTCCCTTTCCACTCTGTGATGTTGTCCTCCCAACTCCTTCTCTGCCTTCTTCTCTTTCTCTTTCCTTGTACGGTTCCTTGTAGGATTGTTTTGGCAAGTCCTTTGGACCTTGTGACATGCCCATACCATTTTAGTTTTTGCCTCTTCACTGTGGCCAGTAGATATTCATGCTACCCCACGTACTGCGTTTATCATTCTGTTCCGTACCTCAGCATTTGAAATGTGGTCTTTGTATGAGATTCAGAAACAGAATATATGGGTGGAAAGCCTCAAAAACAAAGTGCAGTCGAACGCTCGTTAGGGTATTCAAACCAGAGCCACCCGCTCGGTGGTCCAAAATGAAACCAATTACTGATCTAACAGAGTGCACTCATATTATCATAATATTATGATGGGCTCTTTGACTTTACAAGTAAAATACGTGGATTCGATTCTCAAATGGGAAAGTGTACTTATTGAGAGACGTCATGTTTCTGTTGGATGTTGTATCACACTCTTTAGTTTTAGTAAGTGTTTTACGGCACTTGCAACACAATAAGTTCATGTAAGTGCCGAAGATTAGAGGTGTTACATGAGAGTAACAAACATAAAAAAGGGAGGAGAGATCAGGACGATAGATGTTTGATAGGAAAGAGGGGCAAACCACACCAGTGCACCCGCCAACCACTCACTATTACACTCTATCCGGGACGGCCCTAACAAACCGAATCGCAGCAGAATGCTTCCTAAATTGTGTAAATTGTGCTGATGAGGTCGTTAGATGCTTAAAAGATGAGAAAAAAGATGAAGAAAATGAAAAGCTTGAGCAGACATTTTTTTCCCTCAATATTTCTCAGAATAAACTTCAAACCTGACACGGAAGCTATATGCCTCTTCAAGCTCATTTATTTACAGTTCATAGCACACAACATTATTCAAAGCAAGCTTTCACAGATTATGAAAGATCGATAGCAGTTAAAGTTTGGTGATTGACATCCTTTTCTACCGTGTCACCGTCAGTAAAACATTGGTAGCGAAAGGAAAACAACAACAACAACAACAACAACAACAACAACAAAAACAACAATGAAAACAACAGTAGCAGCAGCAACAACAATAACCTCAACATTACAACCCCCCTAAAAAAAAAACGACCAAAAAAAAAACGACAAAAAAACACAGCGGAAATAATGTCTTTACCCCTTTTACATTATAAAT